CACACTGTCCTCACTCACCTCCAGATGCCACCACACTGTCCTCACTCACCTCCAGATGCCACCACACTGTCCTCACTCACCTCCAGATGTCACCCTGTCCTCATTCACTTCCAGATGCCACCACACTGCCCTCACTCACCACCCGCCCTCCGTCCTCACTTTCTATCTCTCTTCTTCCTGCTACCTTACAGGACAGCACTGTGACCTCTCTTCAAGTGCTTGATTTAATTTCTAGAGTATGGCATTTTAAGAGACTTCACAGGAGGAAAGTTGACAAATTATTAATGAATCTGTCCTCAGAGAGCAGTTTACCTGTAAATGTAAGATTCAGTTCACCAATGTAACATCAAATAACTATCACACAAGCAGGACACGTGGAGTAGGGATACAATGTAGCACTCTAAGGGAGGCTAGACTTTACTTAGGAATGGTAGCTGGGAGCAGGGTCTCTTGCCTGTACTCCAACACTGGAGAGGATGAGGTAGGACTACTGTTTCTATGAGTTCCAGGATAGCCTAGGCTATGCAGTAAAGCTGCCTTCCAAACAAGGACAATGACAACAGCACAGAATTCTCTGCACTGTTTCTTCTATTACATTAACAAGATGTCAGCCCTCCTTTTCATGGTTTTTAAATTATGATTCATTTTGAAACATTTAAAAAGACAAAAGACAAGATTTTATAAAAAACCTCTGACATGTGAGTTCAAGGGTTGACACAGGAGAGCTCTGACTCACACTTGGGCTAGCTGAGGACTTTTTCCTGTCCGGCCCCACCAAGGGGCTGGCTGTGACTTCACTCTTTGAGCCCACCGTGGTGCTGCCAAGTCTGCGGGCTGTGTCTTTGTCCCACTCCTCCTTCTGTTCACTCTCCACACTGTTGGCCTGCGGCCTTTTGGTGTACGAGACAGCAGGGGGGATGGAGGGACCGGCTGCAATACATAGAAACAGCAAGGTTATCTGGAAAAGAACAGACATACTTCCTGCCAACAAAACCCTCCTATGCTAACAATATCCACATTTGTGTCTTTCATACTCTCGACTAAGATTAAACTGATTATAGGAGTCGGTTCAGGTCCCCAGAAAAGAGACGCTGTGATCGATCACCCAGTGATGCCAGTCTGAGAAGGGCCCAGGAGTGAGAGGAAATGGGACAGTGTTGGGCAGTGCACACTGGGCAGTGCCAGTCTGTCTCCTTAGACTTGCTCCTCACCATGGTCACTGAAGCGCCTCTGCTTCTGGTTGGCTGAGATGCTTCGCTGGACCTTCAGGTGAGCAGGTGACTGAAGGGTGCTGTTGTTTAGGTCACTGCTCGGCCGGGATCGCTGACACAAGTTTCCACTGGACAGTGACTCACCACCTTCGAACTGTGAGCAGAGAGATCACCCAGACTTTAAAACAGGAAAGCGTATAAATAAAATGATTTGAAGTTATATGAGGAGCAATCAAAACTAAAAAGAGACTTCAAACTGGCATGAAAGAAGGGAGGGAGCTGGATTAGGCCACTCCCACTATCACTCGGAATCTACTAGTCAAAACATCAAGTAACAGCCAGAAACCATTCACTGCACGGTAACCGCACAGCAGACATGGTCCTGGGGGTTCTACACACGTTACTTGCTTAACCACTGCCACAGATGTGTGATGCATTAACCTGCATTTCCAGGTGGAAAAACAAAGGTCAAGGACACCACTCCCATTCAAGCAGGATGAAATCTAAAACCTCACACACAAGTATGTGTATATATACATACATGTCCATGTATATATATGCACACACAGGAACTATTAAGTATATTTTACAATTGGAACTAAGATTAAAATGTTTTGTTTGCTTTTCTACACTTACAAAACACAATTTCTTTTGCTGGCTCTGATTAGGAAATGACTTCCCTTAGCCCCGAGCATGGTAAGCTGGGGGCTTATAGACACACAGCCTCTCTTCAGTGCTGCTGTGAGGATTCGAGCCAGCACTGCACTGCAGTTCAGAACTGGTGCTGCTCACTACAGCAGCTGGGTGTGCAATGACCCATTAGCAACTACTTCAAGGTGGGGTCAAGGATTAACATATTAAACCTTTTCAATGACCCTAAGAGCTGAGTATTATTGTCCACATTTTACAGACAAGAAAACTGAGGATCAGAGAATAAGTGCACAGTTGATGGCTCTAGTGGGGACTGTGAACCTGACTTTTTCATTCACAGTAGCTTCAATAGTTTACTTCCAACATAATTCATATTTGAGTTTTATATATGCCTGGACTTTGTATTTGAATTAATAAGAAATTAAAGTGTCCAGAGGTCATCTGAAGTCCAAGTAGGACAATCAGAAGAGGCTACAAATAACTCCTAGGGCCCTTCCCTCTGAGTCTCTTGACTAGGCCTCACTGATGCCCCACACCTCAGCTGTCAGCCCCTCAAGACCTCCCTCCTCCCCAGCAGTTCTTATGCCTTCTCAGCAGATTTGTTGAGGAGGTTAGATGCATTAACAGTTGTGACATCCTTAGAATAGCTCTTAGCACGGACCTGATGATATATACTCCTCTGATAACAACCCCCTGAGGAGCACAGGCCCTTCTGACAGGTCACCTTATACAAGCAGGCATCTGAGAAGTCAGGGCTTACCCCACTTCCCCTGGTCACCAAGTGTCATTAGCTTTATGTGTTCGTGCCACATGCACCTCCTGGGTAAACTTCACCCTAGCCTGCTCTAGGTGCCAGCTCTCCTATACAGTCTCAGAGTATTTGCAGCACACCCCATAATGTACAGTGGGGCTGGTTGCTTAGTTCTACCCCAAGGGCTGCTGGACAGGAGGACGTTTTGGCTTTTCCCTCATGCTGTTAGCATAGTTTCTGATAGAAGGCAGGTTCAAGGCATTTCAGTTGGAATGTATGATTTTGTTCATAGTTACTATTTCATTATGAATAATTATAGCCTTTTTAAAAGAACGCCTCTCACAGATGTCTAATTTTCAACTTTCAATGCTCTGGCATAAAATTACCAATGCTCTGAAACTCCTATTTCAACTTATCCCTCTATAGCTGCTTTCCCAGAGAATCATTTACTTGTATGGTTTGCCACTTTCATTCAGTTATTTTCTGCATCAGTCTCCTTGTCATGGACCTCTGCTGACCATGAGAATTCCCAGCTAGGTTCACGAAAGTCACTTGGCCCAAGGCCAAGACCACGCAGCATCTTTCCCTAAGGTCTCACCTATCTACATGGCTCCAGCTTCACAGGCTTCTTTTGCCTTAGTGCCTTGTTTCTGTATGTTTATGACAATCACACTGCCTTTGACTGCACAGTGTACACCAAATAACTCTGAGGACACCATGCTCAAAGTTGAGGCTGTGGGTGGAGCTGCTCGGTCCCAATGAGATCAGTAAACAATTTAGCCCCTTGATTTCTGATCTATAAGAAAACTATTAGGATCTTTGTGTTATTTTTGGTCCTACCAAGAACCGGACACATTTACTAACATATCTCTATCCATTTAATTCAAAATTAATATATATTAATTTAAAAAAGGCAAAAACTACTTACCTCAGGTGGTTTTCTACCTAGAAGAATATAAGTAGCCATAACTTCGTCATATTTCTGACTTACTAAGGCATCATTGATTTCATCTCGTGCAAAACCCATGGTGACCATAATGTCTAGGAAAAAAAAAGGAGAATTTTTCTTAAAGTGTATTGATTTAGTAAATGATCAGCGAAAACATAGATTTGCCAATGCTGTTAGGGAAAACTAGTTCTTAAAACACTCAAAGTGAGTTTTAACTATGAAATCTTCTGGATTATTAACCTACAGGTAGAGTATACTCAGGTACTATACACTTATCATTTTAAAAGATGTATTTATTTTTATTAAGTGTTTTGTCTGGATGTATCTATATACACTACATGACTACCTGGTACCTATGGATGTAAGAACAGAGCATCAGTCCCCCTTGGACTGCAGTTACAGATGTTGTGAGATACAGTCTGGGTACTGGGAATTGAACCTGGGTCGTCTGTAAGAGCAGCAAGTGCTCTTCACTGCTGGGCATCTCTCCAGCCTCCATTTCTAATTTCTTTATGTGTACAAAATTATTTATACTACAGACTTAATATAGTAAGCATATTTTTCATATCTTGGGACACTTCTGAGCTGGCCTGTTTTGTGCACACAAGGTCGGCATGTCTAAGCCTCACACAAAGCCTCGCTCGCTCTTCTTTCTCTCTCAGCGCGGCGTCAGCCACTCAGGGAGAGGCCACCATCTCAGTCAAGAGCCTGCTTCCTTTCACTCTTTCTGCAGGTCACAGCTTCTCTCTTAAGGCTTGCTTCCACAGTGTTCCCATCAAGTTCCTACTGAGGACTGTGGGCAGGGAGGGTCGGCTCTGCTGAGGAGTGAGAGCAGAGATGGGGCGGGAACGTGCCCAAAGCTTAGAATCCAGTCCTGACCCTGGCTGTACTTTTCAGTCTGCTCAGTGCTAATAGTTACAGTGGTCACTCTTTCAGTGAGGGAGTGCAGAGAGAAAAAGTTACAAATCTATCTAACGTATTTTAATTTTTGTACAGTTGCCAACAATTGAACAGAATTACAGATATACAGGAGAACAAACTAAGGAAGTTGGATATTTTAAATTGTAAAGTCCCGTGTAAACACTGCCATGCTGGCTAACGGCTCTCACATGTAGTCACGGGGCCTCTCATGGAATGTAAATACTTACCTATTCTTTTTGCATCATTGAGATCAAGCTCAGGCTCAGAATATGGTTTTAGCTCTTCTTCTTCATGACCAACATTCATCCATCGGTCTTTCATTATTTGCTAGGAAATAAACTCTAGGTCATGTCTGGTGAATTACAACATTCAGCCCACTCCTCAAATGTGAAGTGTATTGGTTCACTCAACAAGAATCACGTGACACTTTCAAATACATTTACTCTTTGTACCTTAATTAATGGTCTAACAGAAGGTGTGGGTCTCTAGTCAACCATAATCTTATCACAACTATGTTACCCACTACTCACCAAAGGCAATGTACAAATAATCCTCTTTTCACGTTGCTTCAAAAGGAATATTTCTAAACCGAAAAGTTTTAATATTTTTTCTGGTCATGTATTTATTTTAAAATCACACACCTCAGAAAGAGGAGATCTTGGGGGATGGAAATCTAGGCTATTCTGTCTAGGTAACTAAAGAATATGGGAAAGGATGGTGGTAAAAATTAAAGTCTAGAATCAGAAATCAGGTAACTATCAAAGTGAAAACAGGTATTGGTGTGAATTATCCCAATCAAATAACCTGATGCTGTGAACATCAGCCCTGGGCTGTTAAAGACAATCCGTGGGGACAGTCCATAGAGTGAGAGGAAACAGCTATAACCAGGTAAAAAGTTAGTATCCAAAATATGTAAAGAAGGCCTATAAAAATTATGCTGTAAACTACACCCCAAAACTTTCACTATTGGCTAAAGGGCTATGTTATCCATAGAGGAGTGTTTTAAAACTGAGTTACAGATCCCCCCAAGACACATACAATGTAAAACTTACTAACTATAACTGGTACAAAGGGCTGGAGAGATGGTTAAAGAGTCCTGGCTGTTCTTCTGGAGGAATTCATTTGATTCCCAGTACCCACAAGTGGGTTACAACCATCTGTGACTCCAGTTCTAGGGGATCCAGTGCTGGCTACCATGGGCACCAGGCAAGCACATGATGCATAGACATCCATGCAGGCAAAACATTCACATACATAAAATTTTAAAACAATTAAAAAAACAAAGAGTGAAGTTGCAGCTGCATCTGCTGCCATCTGGGCCCTGGTCTCACAGGGCACTTTGGAGAGTGGATAGGCATGTGCACAAGCTGAGGTAGCCTGGCCTCAGCCACTGTCCTATCCTCCTGTGGTGGGTGGTTTGAATAGGTGTGACCTCCATAGACTCATGTGTTTGAATGCTTGTCCGTAGGGAGTGGCACTGTTAGGAGGTGTGGTCTTGTTGGAGTAGGTGTGGCTTGCTGGAGGAAGTGTGTCACTTTGGAGGCGGACACTCCTCACACTACATCTAGACTAAGACAGCCCTCTTCTGCTGCCTTCAGATCAAGATGTTGAACTCTCCTCTCTGTCTCCAGCACCGTGTCTGTCTGTACGCTGCCATGCTTCCCAAAACAATAATGGGCTAAACTTCTGAAATTATAAGCCAGTCCCAATTCAATGTTTTTCTTTTAAGAGTTGCTATGGTCATGGTGTTTCTTCACAGTGATGAAACCCAAACTAAGACATCTCCTAAACCCTCCCCCGCCCCCACTGTCTGCAGCTATGACCCTGTGCTACCCCCTGGCTGTGGGCATCAACAAGGGCCACAAAGTGATAAAGACTGGGAGGGGCTGAGCAACTTGCTACTTGGTTGCTGAGGCTGGCCATGATCTGTACCTCCTCAGTAACTGAGTTTATCAACCTAAACCATGAGGTCTGGATCATTTTCATCCTTTTAACATCAAGAATGAAAGACTAAACATCTGGCTAGCTATTCTAGTCAACATTTAAATCAGTAAATTAGTCACTTCTGAGGAAAGCAGTGATCTTTATCAGTAGCCCACAGAGACTGGTGAGCACTGTCCCCCAGGTGCCTTTGTTCCTTCCACTCTGCCCTAGGGACTGCTGCTTGGCCTCTGGGAACTTTACCGACACAGCTGAAGGGGCTTCCTGGACACAGGTGGGTCACCTACACTTCTAACCTCTTCCAGCACTGGCACACACCGACCTATACATGATTTAAGTAAATCTTAAAAAAAAAAAAAAGTGGACTCAAGAGCCGGGACGGGAAAGGGTGATATTCTACTGAAGTTCTAGCCCTTTAGAACTGAGGAGCCGCTGTTTTTCCATTCTGAGAGGTGACATGCTTTTCTACAAATGGTCAGAAGTAAGCTAAGAGTAGTAATACAAAAATGGGCTTTCAGTACAGATGCCAATATTGACATGTCTTTTCACCCCAGAGGAAAAAAGACATAAAAAAAAACCTGAGCTAAAAGCTAATCACACTTAGTGCAGCTAAAACACCAATTGATTTGCTCCAATAAAGCACTTAGTAATTTCCCAATTCTTTAACTCCCACCAAGCAAAACATATATATGGGAGGAGAATTATGGAGCCATGCTGGGCTGTGGCTTCCCAGGCTGTGCACACCTCCCGGCAGATGTGCCAGCAAGCCCACACTGCACTGCCCAGGAGCTTCTCGGAGTTCCCTGTACTTCCAGTGCAGGGAAGACAACTTTAAAAGTCCAAGCCAGGAATGAGTACTGAGTCTTTGAAATTCAGTTAGTACAGGCCAAAATATTCCTAAAGACAGATAAAGGGGCTGAAAGGATGTCTTAAATTAAAAGCACTTTTCTAAGGTTCAGTTCCCAAACCCAAAAGGCAGCTCACAGCCATCTGTAACTCTAGTTATAGGGGATTTATCACCATCTTCTGGCCTCTGTGGGTACTGCATGTATGTAATTCACATTGAAGCAAGCACTAATAGACATTCAAAAACAAACAAACAAACAAACAAGCAAACAAACACCCCAAAACTTTAAATACCAACGAAAACCCAGATAGGAAAATGCTTAAGATCACCAGTTATCTCAATTACAGTGTAAGAAAGGATCTGGGTTGCCAGAACCTGTGTAACAATCAGGGCATGTAAACTGGTGCTGTATAGAATGTGTGGGCCACAGCCCTGTGCTAAGTGGACAGCACCTGCCCCGTATGCTCTACTCACGTATCTATACATTTCTGTACTCAAGTTTTTATTTGGTTTCATATGATTTCTGATAGTGAAGAATTAACTGGGTTAGAATTTTCAGTCATTTTCGACCTTCAAATATCTGGTCAGCCTTAACCAACAAAAAGGTTTTTTGTTTTGGACCAGATAGTTCTGACAAAGACTATGTTTATTCTCTCCAAAAGTCAGTTTTGTCTCCATTGTGTCAGTTTTAACAACTCACCAAGGAACCAAGAAGAAATAAGCCTTTGGAGAACCCTACTGTGTCTTTTGAATAAAGAACCATCACTTTTCCTGATGCTGAAAAGGCAAATTAGATTTAGGTTAAACAGAGCCCCACTCAGCAGCAGCTCCGGGGGGTGGGGGGGGGGAACCCAGGCTCCACAGCAGCTCTGGGAACCCAGGCTCCGCAGCATCTAGAATGTGTTCTGAGAGTGCACCTAGGACACAGTGCACTCACCTCCAGGCTGCCCCTCTTTATGGGATTCAGCACTAACAGTTTCTTCAGGAGATTCTCACAGTCTGTGGACATGTAGAAGGGAATGCGGTACTTCCCTCGAAGGACTCGCTCTCGAAGTTCCTTTGACAAAGAAGGAAAGTATTTGTTAATTATTGGTTGACATGACAGTTCCTGCAAGAAAAGGGCTTCAGCACCAAACGAGCATATACCTTTAGATTCTGGCCATCAAAAGGCAGGGAGCCACTGACCAGTGTGTAGAGAATGACGCCCAGACTCCACACATCCACTTCCGGCCCATCGTACTTCTTGCCTTGGAAAAGCTCGGGGGCAGCATAAGGCGGGCTTCCACAGAATGTGTCCAATTTGTTCCCCACTGTGAATTCATTGCTAAAACCAAAGTCAGCAATTTTAATATTCATATCAGCATCAAGGAGAAGGTTTTCAGCCTAAGAGGAAAATAATAAAAAGGACAATGTAAAAACCGTACACAAAATAAAAATGCTATACCTGTTTCAGATTCTAAGCTCACTAGTGCATGCCTCTCATTTTAAAATGTAACACTAAACTTTGCAGAGCGTAACTGTCTAAACATCTGTGGAAGCCTGAGTTTTGACACTTAAAAAGGGAAGCTCATAGAAGCTATAAACACATTTTCCCTCAAAGTTTATTTTAAGTCTTTTTAACTCCATAGTAAGAGGTATCTTGGAACTGTACCTTAACAGGACCTAATCTAAGGAACACATATTGAAATCACTGCTTCACCTCAGACTTAAGCCAAAATTAGCCAGGGGAGCACCATTTTCACAGGTAGTTGGTGCTAAGCTCCAGGGCCTGTCTAAAATGACAACCCGCCGGCTCTCAGGCTCCTTTACTCAGCCCTAGGCCCTCTCTTATAGAATACTTCCTCAACAAGTATGTTCTGTGAAGGGAAACAAACTGCAATAGTTTGGCTCCCACAGACTTTATTTTCAGCAATACTTGCTGTTCTAAAAGTAGAGTCCTGTCTAGAGTCACGTTCTGTAGGAAGTAAAGACTCTGCTCCCATGTTTGAGAGACTAAAATTCTTAAACAATCACCCAAAGATAAAAATGGAAACGTCTCCTATAAATGCAAGCAACACATTCGCTTTGTGAATGCTTCATGTCAAATTCTATTTTCAACTGATGAATAAATATACCAATAAAGCTATAGGTTGGTTTGTAGATGTGCTTGGTCAGAGTCCATGAAAGAGTAAAACTGACTGAGATGAAATCAGAGGGCCTTGGCTTCACTGGAGGACCTGCCATGTATCTCTCCCACCTCCAAGTCTCCGCTCTTCCTTTTTCCCTTTATGGGGTTATCTTATACTTGTGAAAAGTCTAACTACAACAGTGGTGGCCAGTGTGAATTGTCAACTTGACAGAGTTAAGAGTCACTTGAGGCCAGTGTGGGGACACTGGCCCAGACCATGCACATGCCTATAATCTCAGCCTGGGGACCTGAGGCAGGAGATTGCAAGTTCCAGGTCAGCCTGGGCTAGCCACACAGCAAGATACCTGACTCAAAAACTTCAAACCCAAACCCAAGCCAAAGCCTTCCAACTCTTACCCTCTAACCCACCCCCTCCACAAAAAAACACAGAAAAGAAAGAAAAAGAAACCAGAAACACAACCAATTAATCAACAAATAAGAGTGGATACACATACTATGGAAATGGATGAATCTAGGAGAGTGACGTTAAATCAACACTTACTGACTGAGTAACAACAACAACAACAAATGTCTTCCTGATATAAGGGCCCAAGTCTCCTTGGCTACCTGTAGTAAGGTGGACATATCTAGTTTCTCCAGAAACTTCTAAAGCAGTGGTCTTAACCCGCAGCCCTTTAATACAGTTCCTTATGCTGTGGTGACCCCCAACCATAAAATTATTTTCATTGCAACTTCATAACTGTAAATTTGCTACTGTATGAATCAATGTAAATATGTGATATGCAGGATATCTGATATGTGACCCCCGTGAAAGAGTCATTTGACTTCCAAAGAGGTCACAACTCACAGGCTGAGAACTGCTGGTCTAGATGGAAATCTAAGCAACCACATTGCCTCCAAAGAGCCCAGCATGCAATGCTGACGTCTCTGTCCATGGATATATGGGCACTCTCTCTCTCTCCCCTGGACTGGACTGAACACATAGTTGTTGAACATGATTTTTTAATATAAAAATGAGCTATTGAGCTATGACTCAAACAAAGAAAAAGGGTAACCAGCCATCTTTCTCACTGTAGAAATGACTTCCCCCTAATCCTCCAAAGAGAAGAACTGCTCCACAAACATCTGGAGCAGTAACAGGTCAGAAGACTAGAACCAGAACACAGAATTAGATTTCTGACCACTGTGTAAGGCAGTATGTTTAAATGGAATCCAAGTCTGATGCCAAAGGATAAAAGCAATAAGAAAAGTTAAAAAACAAACAAACAAAAAACAAAACCAGAAGTAAGAGGCTGGAGAGTGAAGAGGAGGGCAGGAGAAACACAGGAGGCAGAAGCACTAAGCCCAAGCTCGGGAAGCCTGTGATCATAAGCATTCTACCATTCATATGCTCATCTCAAACATTTACTTCCTATTGCTGTGATAAACACCGTGGGCAGAAGCAGCCAGAGAGGACAGGGTTCGTTTACAGTCCACTGATGAGGGAGGAACTCCAATCAGGAACCTGGAGGCAGGAACCTGGAGGCAGGAGCTGAAGCAGAGGCATGGAGGATGCTGCTCACCATCTTTCACCTCATGGCTCACTCACTCAGTTGGCTGTTTATGCCATCTAGAAACACCTGGCAAGGAGTGGCCCCGCCCATAGTGGGCTAGGACCTCCCACATCAATAATTCATCAGGAAAATGCCACACAGACTTGCTTACAAGCCAGCCTGACGAGGGTGGTTCCTCACTTGATGGCCCCTCTTGCCAAAAGACTCTAGCTTCTGTCATGCTGAGAGAGAACTGACTGACACATGAACTCATTAAAACCCTCCTCTTATTTTGAACTTTGGTGCTAAGAAAGAACCCTGGTTCTTACACATGACAAGCACATATCTGTGCCCTGTGCTTTGACATTACTTCTGTCTAGATGGGACCTTGAACATTTTAATGTGAGGACAGAATTGTATATTTATCTATTTAAACTATGGAATTAACGGTCACTCAAGTCCTCTGACTCTGATTTACACAACGCCACACCCGTGTTCTCATATGCTTGCTGAATACAGTGCCTTTCATAAGCTATAGTGACAGTTCAGCAAAACTCACCCCATCCAGTGCCTAAACTGCTGGGTAATCCAAGAAGCAGCCCTCATTATATTTCGACACATTTTAAGTGTGTGTAGAACAATATGGTGTGTGTGCCTGCATGGAGGCCAGAGGGGGATACCCTGCTGTCTCATGTCTGCTTCATTTCCTTAAGATGGTATCAGTCTCTGAACCTTACATTGGCTGTTTCAGCTAGGCTGGTCAGCCAGTGAGCTCTCAAGACCTACCGGTTTCTACCCCCAAATGCTGGAGTCATGGGCACGCACAGCTCTACCAGATTTTTGTTAGGTGAGTGCTAGGGATTTGAACTCAGGTCTTCATACTTGCAAAGCAAGTACCCTTATTCATCAAGCCTTCTCCCCAGCCCCCTTATTATTACATATATTCATAATTAAGATTTTAATTTTAAAAGCAGCAGCTTACCTTAAGATCACGGTGAACGATGCATTTTTGATGACAATACTGTACAGCAGATACAATCTAAAAGAAATATTTGGATAAAAAGTCAAAATTATTTTTTAGTTAAATACTTGATTTTAATATTTATCATTTTCAATTTGGATAAAGTATTAACTTTGATTTTAAAAATAATAGCAATATCATGATTCCTTTAGTTTAAAAAACTATGTTTATTAAAGAAATAATTTTTTTGTTTTTTTTTTTGTTTTTCGAGACAGGGTTTCTCTGTGTAGCCCGGGCTGTCCTGGAACTCACTCTGTAGACCAGGCTAGCCTTGAACTCTTGAACTCAGAAATCCGCCTGCCTCTGCCTCCCAAGTGCTGGGATTAAAGGCGTGCGCCACCACCGCCCGGTGGAAATTCTTTATACAAGTTAAATTCCTCTGTTTACACGAGTCAAAGTATATCATTTGTAGTTTAGAACAAGGGTTTACTACAGTGTTGTCACGTGTAAGCTAGCATTCTAGATAGCTGACTGGAGTGAAAGCAAAGTTATTTGGGATTCCATCACATTTGCCCAAGGCCTATTTCCTTAATTTATCAAGAACTAATCAGTGGAGTATTTAATAGCATCTCATATTTTCTGCTCAAATATAAAGAAACAGGAAAAAAGCTAACAAATGATCAAGAAACAAAATCTTACACTAATTAATCTGCCCCTAATTTTGCTGGGCAAATTTCTTTGCACTGCACATACATTTTGCAGCCATAGCTTTTAACTAGTGTGTAGGACTCTGAGGGAAGGACCAGACAGGGAAATGTCCAGCAATGTAAAGACTTCAAATACAAATAAGCAATAGACAGGCTTTTCTGTGATGATTCTTTAAAAGAACCCAATAGCAATGGCTAAGGAGCTCCCCTCTATGTGTAATTATAACTGGTCCTCAAAGGATGCTCATTTGAGTGCAGAGCTGTGGGGTTGGTTAAATGTGAACCCAGTGTGGATGCAGGTTAGCCATTCACAGATGGAGGCAGAGGAGAGATTTCCACAGTCTAACTGTGACATGAAGTCCAGTGTGCTACCGGAAGGAAGGGAAGGATCCAAAGCTCAGTGAAAGTGGCATTTCCATGTTAGAAAGTTATTCACGTGTACATCAAAATGGCTCCATGACAAGACACGGATTTAAAAAACAAAAGTACCAACACACAATGAATAAGTACCCCAATGAAATTCATTTTAATCAAGTCAGTTTATTGAGTACCTGTTTCTAGAATCTTCCTAAACTCCAAAGCTTTGACAATGGACACTAACATGACAGGATGCTGCCTGAAGCATGTGTTCTTCCTGCAGACCATGATCTCTGAGCTAGTGTCCCACATTGTGAAGTGTACATGCCCACTGCCAACAAGGGGCCATGTCAGACATGGAAGACACTGTGGCTTCTGACTCACCACATGAGCTGTCACTCATAAACCCATGTGTCATCGCACTGGCCTACAGCAGACTCTGCCACTTGAGCACATCCCCACGAGCAGGATGCAGGAGTTTCTCTATGCTCCTTCTGTTGTGGACCTTGAGAACAGGACTTATAAACAGGCCCGCACTGACCTTCAGGCCCCACATGTCTTAAGGAATAGCTTTGGAATGATTTATAAATTCGTCAGGAATTCCTCTTCTCTAAGTAGTAGCCTTGACATTGGAATCAATATTATAATTTTTAAAATAAGATTTATTTTCATTTTATATAAGTAGGTGTTTTGTCTGCATTTATGTCTGTGTGCCACATGTGTACAATGCTCACAGAGGCCAGAAAATGGTATGAGGTACCCTGGAACCGGAGGTTCAGATGCTTGTGAGCTATCATGTGAGTGCAGGGAATTGAACCAGGTCCTCTGGAAGCAGGAAGCACACTTTAACTGCTGAGCCATCTTTGCAGTCTCAATACTATTGTGTGTGCGTGTGTGTGTGTGTGTGTGTGTACCCTCACAACCTATGGAATTGTGCATTATGTGTTATGAAGAGGCACTGTACTGGCAATGATTGCCAAGATGATTTTAAACTGTGTATTGTCTTTAGCATACCAAATAGTAAGGTCAAGGGCATGAATCTATATATTCTTGTTAATATAGCACATTCTTTTACCACTTTTGTAAAAATCATAAATACAAGTGTGTGTGTGTGTGTGTGTGTACAACATTCTATACTTGCTATGTTTTTAGCAAGTAAGTAAAACCAGCAGCCTAAAAAGACAAAGGGTAAGTGGAAACCATCCCAAAGGGAACATTCGTTGACAACTGGAATTTTCTTGCTCATCTGTGGCTAACACCACTTGACAAGGAAGGAGATAACTGGAGTGCTGACCAGAGGGCACAGAGTTCCACCCAGGATAGGAAAGAATTTAATGGAAGGGGCTGAGCACAGCCCGGGCTCTTACTGATGCTTTTCCCATTACCAGCTGTTTCCACAGCCACTGTTGTTTGTTTTTTTTTTAAGGGCAAGCAAGCAAAGCTCACTGAGTGGAGTGACAGCTCGGTCCAGCAGGGAGGATCTTGAACATTCACTGCCCTAGACTCACTATTTTTGTGTGCACTTGGTGTATGAGGTTGCAGCAAGCTCCTGAGTGTGATGTGTACTGAGGCCAGAGGACAACTTTCAGGAGTTGATTCTGCCCCTCCTCTAAGTGGGTCCGGAGGACTACACTCAGGTTGTTGGTCTTGGTGGTAAATGCCTTTGCTCCCTGAGCCATAGCACCCCACCCCCACTATGAATAACTATAGCAATCTACCTGAGAAACAGAGACTTAGAAAACAAAGCCACTAGATAATCGCTTTGGAAGGTCAGGTCAAACAGTGAAGCAGGGTGTCTTCACTCTCAATGATGAGGGCTATTCTGTGAGTTAGCCTCCATGGAATGCTGCTCAAACAGACTGCTTACAGAGTATCTTCAACTGCAGAATCTATGTAGTGTTCACACATGAAGAGCTAAACTACTTTAAAATAAAAATTCTTAAACCACTAAGGGCAAGTCTAGGAGATAACACATCACTGAAGCTTTATTTCAGTATATTTTACAGACAATTCACAATTCATTAATCATTTCTATATAATTTATAAAGTATACTTGATTTTTTCAGCATAGTTGTCCAACAACAGATTAATGGTTAATGAAAATTTGGTATATAAAAATGGAATATTAACATTAAAAATGATAACATTTACAAGGAAATGATGTATACATTAAGTGAGGTCACACAACCCAAGGAAACCGCACATGTTCTCCCTCACATTCTGGGTCTATGTGTATATGTAATAGTAAACAAACATACATGTGGGCACACAAAGAGAAGAGAAGGAGAAAGGCTAAACATAAGGAGATGAGGAAGGACTGGGTGCAGGCACAGGACACGGGTCCTGAGGGAAACAAAGATAACCTTCTCTAGTTTTAACTGTGCCAGGATGGCTTCGTTTTTGGTGGTGGGTAAGTACATAAAATATATCCAATAGTGACAGTGTAAAGTGCAGAGTCAAGCCTCATGGCTTCAGTCCTGACAGGATCCTCTAACTGTACAGAAGTTCACGGAGATGTATAGACTATGGGTCCAGTTAACTTCGGTGTGCAATTATTTTATAAGCAAGTTTTTTTTTCCTAAAAAAATTTGTAAAAAATAGAAAAGTACATTTAATGCAGTTGCAAAAATTAAGAGTAAAATTCTAAATGTGTTAAAAAAAAATCCCCTCCCTGACTTTGTCCTTTCTACGGTAAGTCAGGATGATGCAGAACTCGAAGTGTGAGCATCCGACCTCCGTCTCCTGCCATGCTTGCGTTTTCCTCACATATATGGCTAAACAAAACCGACCATACTCTTTAAGTGAATTCTCAAGTGGATTTTAACACTAATATATATTTAATCACAGAGGAGAATAATACAATCATGCACATGTAAAGCTGGTGGGATTTGATAACAGTTCCTGGCTCTACACAGGACTGAGCATTTCTTCTCTGACTCGGTCTGGTCTGAGATTTTAAGACTCAAAGGTAAACACTGAGTCTAATGTATAAAATGCTACCATTCATGGTTGTTTCAAAATAACCATGTGCAGCTACTATTTTAAGGTGAAATTCGGGAAAAATGGGTTTCTGTTCTAGGAATTTTCCATCCTTAAAAAAGGGAAGGAGGAGTTTTTCTTTAAAAAAAAATTCCATGTACTCTCAAAGTTGTTTGTGATCAAACCTGTTGCACATTACCAAGAATATCAGCAAAACACAGTTGCGAAGCATTTTCCATACCTGCCTGAATTTGGCACGGGCCTCTTTCTCTTTCATTCTTCCATGAGCAACTAAGTAATCAAAGACTTCACCTGAATCAGAAGGGCAAAGCAGGCAGTAAATACACGTCGATTTTGATTAACAATATACAATGCCAAGTTTTGGCTTCTCTTTTCAAGAATCACATGGTCCACCATTTTCTGCTGTTTATACAAGTCACAAACTAACACAGAAATAGGAAATGAATTACATGTGGAATTGAGAATCTGTAGCCATTTTGTGACTTATAAAAACTCTTTTTAAATAACCAAGAAAATGCGTTCTCTACTTCCAAAGTTACATGAAATGTTGTCAACTCTTTGTTACCCAGTCTAATGAAGGGAAACCACAGGGCAGTACAACGGCAAATTTGGCTTTGTTGTGCAGACTCCATTACATGTTAGTCACAATCGGTCTCTTAAATTCCATCACATAGCCTGGTCCCACTCCATTGTCCTTCCTGTAGTTGTTATGTGTGTCATGTGTGTACTATGTGTACTATGCCTCTGCTCTCTCGGGTCCTCATCCATCTTGGCAGTTACCCACAAATGACATGGAAGCCTGTCACCCTTGTTTGAACTCTGCTGCCTGATATGACCTGCTGGCTACTCCACCCTAACTACAGCTGCACCATATATGCATCTGCATCTTTATCTCCACGATGGAACAGTGGACATGCAACACGTATGTGCAGAGCTCATTAACAGCAAAGAGTGTTGAGATTTTCTATATTTCTATATGCTTTATATCTTTCTGTAGACTAATCATTTAAAATAGTTAATCTTAAGTTAAAATCTTAAAATATTTTACAGAGAGAGTTATATTCTATGACCTTATCAGCTGCAAAATGTAGACACACATGTAGATTAAAAACATACAGGATGGCTTAAAAGGTCTTACATAGTATAGCCAAGTTACAGTCTCAGGCTTCAGGATCTGACCATTAGGAATGTACCCTGGTGTAGCCTCCATACTTAGCAGGTACTTAATACTAAGGGACATTAGGTAGACCTTTTAACCCCATCAAGATTCTGTTTCTAACCAGAGTATGCCTCAATGCTTCCAGGCTTATATGAAACAATGCACGTGCTTGGCGCAGGGGCATGCAGCGAGCACTCAATAAATGACACTTGTACTTAAGTACTCAGATATATGACATTTATGTAAATGTACTCTAGCATGTAAGTAAAGCATGAACAATCAAATACGTAATGGATGTACGTTGATGAAACTAACAGGTCTACAATGTGGGACACTGTTTTATGAAGCACTGAGTGACTGACAGTGGGGTGACGAGAACAAGAAATGAACACATGCTCTAGCTGGCGGTCAGAGCAGCTGCTTGTGGATATGTGTCCCCAGGGTTAATTGCAGTATTACTCTGACACAGCATGCCTCCGCCTTTCCCTTCTCACACTGTTTGCCAAAGCTTTGCTTCACCAGTTATAATGTGATCCTGATGGCCAACTATCTTTGCTTACCTTACATTCTCTAGAAAACTACCTTATAAGCATTTTTAAGTATTATTTGCATGAACAAAAGGAAGAATAAATACTGTGTTGCAGGAGCCCCCACACCTACTTTAACATGCTTCTTTTAATTAGCCATGATTCAAAAAGCCATAGAAGAACCCCAGTTTTCAGATCACTGAAGATCCTCGTTCTGTCATTAGTCAACCAGAGCCCCTGGCAGAGTGGCCATGGTCTGACTCAGATGCTCACTAGTGTGCATACCAATTCAACCTGAAACTATCTGGAGACTGCAGAGAAAAAAAAAAAAATCAGTGCTTTATTTCCCCAACTTGCCTTGCCAGCAATAGATTTAAAAAGTCAAAAAAAAAATCCTAGATACACTGCCAAAGAACCATGGTTATTTTTGTTAAGTAAATCATTCCTTTGTGAGACTCAAAAAAATAAACCAACAAACAAACATCATTTTCTACTCTCCTGGAATCAGAACAGTATGAAGGGCCAGCAGGTTTGAACTGGTTGTTAGTCTCTCTGCCCTGTGTCTCCATCTCTCTCAACACATAAATAAGGAACCTATCTCTCTGCACTGCTCCTCACAGCCCCTCCAGATGTTGCCCTCGTCCTTAGCATCACTACAGAGCTGACTGCATGCGCTATCAGCAGCTGAACCACCTCGTATATGCAGAGCCTTGTGGCAGATCTTTATAAAGGCCGAAAGGTACCCACTGGCTTTAAGAGACCCACCATTTCTTATATCAAAGCATGTCTGAGCCCTTTCTCTAATTTTGGATCACTGAAATCACAAACAAACACAATAAATAAGCTTACGAAAATAAAAGTAATATCCAGGGCTCCTGTCCTTACAGAATGGATTTGTATGGGAGTACAGCGAAAGGACAGAAAACAGAGTCATTATGTAGTGCCCAGCACATGAGAGATCTGCCCTGACTGGCCAGGATGCAGCTCTGTGACAGAGCACCTGCCCAGCACAGCACCTGTGCGCAGCCCCCAGCAACACAAAATATAAACGAAGGAACAAACCAAGAAACAAATGAAAGACCTACAATGAAATATTTTCAGAGCAGAAAAAAAGTTTTGGAGAAAGCAAATTTACTAAGACATTTAATATGTAAAATAACTTAAAAGCAATTGCACATGCTCAGTATTTAAAATAAACATTTAGAAATCTGGGAATCGGTGTAAAGTGTGTTGCCTGGAAGCTATGGACAAAACAAATCCTTCCCATTCCAGTCTATACAAAGTGCATCGCCACACACACCTGCCGTCTGCATTCACGCAAAGGCTTTCCTATCAATGAGTAAAACCTAACAAATCAGTAAAATAATCCCAGTTTCCTTATTTTTCAACTGCCTCATCTTCTGTACTTTTAAAGCAGGTCCTTTATTTTATTTTTAGTTTTTCAGTGATGTAACTCCATAAAATGTAAACACCCTTCAAAGAAGTCCTGACAAGTGCATTTAAGCCAAGTGCAGGAGATAAAAGTCACTTTAAAAAAAATTAGTCTTCTTGTGACCCTGTAACAAAGTCTATGCTGTATTCAGTGTTACACATGGACTCTGCCTCCTTCCATCACCTCAGGCATAACTTACAGATCAACAGTTATTTAAATCCATGGCTCACGAGTTACCTTGGCAACATATGTATACTGAGGATCTGCCACATAAGAATAGTCAGCTAAATAAATACCTGACCTACAGCATGCTTTCACCATACATTGTACTAAATCCGTTCTGCATTTGGGATTTTCTGCTTATAGTCAAGGGCTACAAATCAAATGTTGTTTTAATATTTAAATAACCAAATCAAAACACTCTAAAGAAGACAAAGCAAATTAAAAAAAACCCCTAAGTAATTTTTAAATAAGCCAAAAGTTCTATTTATACTATAGGCTCGGCAGGTTTTTAAAGCAAACACTGAATTTTCGTGAGGAGGTCATTAAAGGATATGTCAGTAAACTATAGATTACGATAAAGGCAACTACCAGAAGCCATCAATTCCGTGTCCATCAAACAGGACATGTTTTCCAGGCCCACTCATTCTTACCCCCACTTGCGTATTCCATGACTAAGTAGAGCGTCTTCTCTGTTTCAATAACTTCAAACAGTTTCACTGAAAAAAACAGGAGATATAACTCAACAACTGACAGCATAAAATGGTGTTCTTTCTAAAACCTTAGGCAACAGTAAGTAGAATATTAGAATACTTGCTAAACTGAATAATTCTAACTTTAAAATAAAAGATACTCAAGAGTTATTTCTCCTATGCAAGGAAACTACTTACACCTCACCAGAAAGTAATCTGGAGTCTATTAGAGTTAGAACAGTGTTTGAGATGAAAAAACTATAACAGAGAAATATTTTTAGCACATGCCTTAAACCCCAGCACTTGTGAGGCAGAGGCAGGTGGGTTTCTGTGAGTTTCAGGCCAGCCAGGGTTACATAGAGAGACCTTGTCTCAAAAAAATAAAAACAAAATGACAACAAGGGATGAGGGGTGGGGTGTCTTAAAGTCAGGAGGCCAGAGAATCTGAATGAAAGCTTAGAGATAGTGCAGCAGTAAGATAATGTAACATGTTCCTGTTTGGTTAAAAAAAACCAAAACTGGGGCTGGAGAGATGGCTCAGTGGTTAGGAGCACTGACTGCTCTTCCAGAGGTCCTGAGTTCAAATCCCAGCAACCACATGGTGGCTCACAACCATCCGTAATGAGATTCGATGCCCTCTTCTGGTGTGTCTGAAGACAGCTACAGTGTACTCATAAATAAAGTAAATAAATCTAAAAAAAAAAAAAAAAAACCAAAACTTATGTTTATGTGATATTAAAAATAACTTCTGGTAAAAATAGAATTGATTTACACAGTGGAGATTAATCACCAGGAATAATCACATTAATGGCTACATACAGAGAAAACCTTTAAAGATGCAAGAGAGAATGTTTTAAAATAAGTAAAATATTCTTTTTTTTTACTACTTAGAATCAAGTGATTTTATACAGCGTCTCTGATCAATAAGTTTATTTGTAAAAGGGGCAAAAATCAAGACTTACTAAAACAGTTCAGTAAAACTGAAATTAGTATCTAATTTACTTCAAAATACAACATTATTTTGCCTATCAAAAGTACATTAAACTCAGTGTTTATTAGTAAAGTATATGTAATTCTCTTTACTAGCTAGTGGCATGCATTCTTTGATCTAACAAGGAGAGTCTGTGCAGAAGCCCAGTTGTACTGAAGTGTGACATCAAGCAGGAGAGGCAGCAGCAGAGGTCAGCTGCCGGCCTCCAGGACCATTCGACTGCACCAAGAGTCACCCTCACTGACCTCCATCTCTCCTCTTTATAGAGAGCAACAGTAAAATCTACACATTCAAATGGCTTTCAATGCAGGGAAACACTCGGTCACTGCTTATATGTTCAGGTTTCATACCTATGTTAGGATGATTCAGTATCTTCATTATTCGTACTTCTCGGAACAACTGTTAAAAAAAGATAAGACATGTTTCTGTTTAAAGGACCGAAAAACTCAAGCAGATGACAATTGCACTTCCACTTAATAACAATCACGTGCTTACAAGATTGTCGATTCTGGAAGAGGACCTAAGCAGAGATCTGCTGCTTGGTTCTACCCTTTCATAATGAGCAACGCAACTCCGGCCTCCGTATTAACTTCATGGAGACCTGGCTTCTCAAAGACCCCTGACAAGATGGACTGTTTGGTATGCGGAACTTTCCATAACGCAACTTACACTTTCTTCAAGTACTCTTCAGGAAAAGAAACAGAAGAAAAGACTGAGGAAATGGCAGCGAAGGTCTAGCCACGGAATCAGCTGCCTTGGGTCAGATTACTCCAAGTCATTTCTTTTGGTTGACCCAATACTTTGTGAAAGATTCAGATGCACTTTTAAGTAGACTTGTAAGATAATACTGAATGATAATGAAATAGCCAAGCGTGGTGGAATATACCCACCCATAATCCAAACAACATGCAGGCTGAGGCAAAAGGATAATAGCTCAAGATAAACCTGGCTCCAGAGACAGACTTTGTCTTGAAATATGGGGGAGAAGAGGAAGATGAGGAGGAAGAAGAAGAGGAGGAAGAAGAGGAGGAAGAGAAGGGGGAAGGCTATTTTAAAAGATTTATTTAGTTTTGAGTTTGAGGCCAGCCTGGTCTACAGAGCAAGTTCCAGGACAGCCAGGGCTATACAGAGAAACACTCCCATGAAAAACAAAAACAAACAAACAAACAAACAGATGTCTTTATTTTAATTTTATGAATATGTGTTTTGTATGCTTGGCACTACATGTGTGCAGTACCCATGGCGTCAGAGAATGGCATCAGATCCTATGGAACTAGAGTTACCAGTGGTTGTGATCACTATGTGGGTGCTGGGAACTGAACCCAGGTTTTATGGAAGAGCAGCCAGCACTCTTAACCATTAACCCATCTCTCCAGTTCTAAGAGGAGGACTATTGAGCATGCTAAATAAAACAAAATAACATGAATGCTAAATTTTATTTCCCCTTAACTTTAAAGATTTATTTATTTCATTTATGAGTACACTGTAGCTGTCTTCAGACACACCAGAAGAGGGCATCGAATCTCATTACGGATGGTTGTGAGCCACCATGTGGTTGCTGGGATTTGAACTCAGGACCTCTGGAAGAGCAGTCAGTGCTCTTAACCACTGAGCCATCTCTCCAGCCCCCCCTTAACTTTAAAACACTACACAATTTTTCAAAAGTATGATTTGTCAGGCTAGTGGTGTGGTCACAGCAGTAAGAATGCCTGCTGTCACTTGTGATGATCTGAGTTCAGTCTTTAGTACCCACATGGTAGGAAGAGAGATTTATTCCTACAAGGTGACTTCCATGAACACACCATGGCACATATGAACATACATACAAATAAATCATAAAATGTTAAAAAACCATGAAATTTTTAAAAAGAGCATGATTTGGTATTTTCTCCTTTATGCTGTTTGCATATATGTTAGTCAAAATCAAAATCAAGCATTTGTTCAAAAAAAAATTAGAAGAATCAAAAATTAGCAACATAAAATAAATCTGTTAAGACATGTTTTGTCAGAATAAAATCTAAAATTAGCGTAACCACAAGTGATGTTTCTGTAATGATCTATTAAAGCCCAAGAGAGCATGAGAAGATGCTCAACATAATTAGTCATTAGGGGATAAACTCAAATCTACAGTGAGAACAGCTGCCACTCACTCAGATGGTCGCTGTCATATACAACAGGACAGGACAGAACAAACCTGTGTGAAAGGGGAGAACTCAGAACCCTCTGGCATAGCAGGTGAGGTGTCAGCTGAGAGGATACTATGGGAAAGACACATTACATGCAGAACAGTATTCCTACAGGAATTAAAAAAGAATCGTCATGCAATCTATGGACCATATGCCCAAGAGAACTGAAAGCAGGGGTTCAAACAGGTGAGTGGATATGGAACATGTGAGAATATGGATGGTAAGTCAACACATAACACGGAAGAGGCTTGAGGGTATCATATAGATGAAACAGTACATCGACAATGATTGAAATGATGCATTTCAGTTTGTGATCAATCACATAATAATAAAATGAAATACAATAAAAATACATCTCAACTGAAAAACCACTTAGGTTTAGATGCTACAAAACAAACAAACAAACAAACAAAAAAACCTTGTCCTAGGTATCTTTAGTAATTCCTACACAAAATCAAGAAAGTATGTAAGCCTGTGTGGTGAGTGTGTGTGAGCATAAGCCACACACTTTTATTTACATTCATTTTTAAAAACCTCTAATACCTAACATTTAATAACTAACAATTACAGGTGAGTAAATAGGACACACATGCAAGTTCAGTATGTTCAGACTGTGCCTGGCCTGACTGAAGACGATCCTGATGTCTGGCCTTCCACTGACCTTTCCTCAGTACACTGAGGGCCTGGAGCACACCCTCCTGTCTCCAGCTGCCTCTTTCCTCCCCTCTGACTGCTGCTCAGTTTTCTGCCAAGTCCTCTTCCTTTCAGTATTTCTAGGAACTCTTGGGCCTCCAGCTCTTAGCGCCCCAAGCCTGGCCCTTCTCTCACTCAGTGTGCTTTTCCTGGGTACTTCATTCTGCTTCAAAAACCATCAGTTTGCTGCAGACTCTGAACTCACTTAGAACGCTGTTTTTATGTCCAAATTTATGGCTAAGTAATTTTATTTGGTAGTCCCACGAGAATTCGAGGCCAACATTCAACAGTGTACACAGACATTTCCCAACACCTTTAGCTTGTGTGACCAAGGCTACCTTTCCAGCCTTATCTTAGGAGACCCCTGCTTTAAGGTAGACATCACTTTAGTATCCAGCATTCCTATGGTTCCTGGAACTACTGGCTCCTGTCCTGCTCAGCTCCAGAACAAGGTCTCCGCAGAGAATCAGTGTTCTCCCATCTTTTTGTTCCTGAAGGGCACATAAGTGAATTTATTGATGCAAATTTTAAGTTACTACTTTTCTCAAGCCAGCATTCATAACCTCTAGTGCAGTGGCTCACAACCTGTGGGTTGTGACTCCTTTGGAAGTTATATCAGATATCCTGCACATCAGATATTTACATTATAATTCATAATTGTAACTAAATTACATATGAAGCAGCAGCAAAATAATTTTATGGTTGTGGGTCACCACAACATGAGAAACTGTCTTAAAGGATTGCAGCGTTGGGAAGGGGGAGAACCACTGTCCTAGGGTATATGCTAGCATGACAGCTCACATCATTTGACATAATCGTGGGACCAAGAGCTCTTCACCTCCCCCCTATGCTACTGTTTGAAGAAAGTCTTCTGTCCTGTCCATCATCTGGGAAGGAATGACAGAAAGAAGGAATTGCTGGGAGGCAGGCACTATTGGGGACTGCCTTGGAGTCTGTCTGACACAATTATATTCTACATAAACCAATGAGTCATGGATTTGTAATACAATAAAGTGAATAATTTGAAGATACCACATACAAGTTACTAATAAAATTGCTGCCAAGGTGTGGGTTAAGTAAGTGTAAATGATTAAAATTAAATGTAGGGTTTTATAGGCAGATTGCTTCCTAATTGACATTATAAACTCCTTTTATGAAATAAAACAAAACCAGAAATAGTAACAAATCTATTCAAACTTTATGAGTGTGCCCAATGCTAAATAAAGTACAATTTTAACCAGAAAACTTAAGCTAAAGTAGAAGTGTTCATCCTACCTTAGTCAAAGAATATATCTTTATGCATTCAATTTAAATGTTCAATTCTGTATCATTTTCAACCTTTTCCTTACTTTTCTCTTTCAACAACCACTTCATTCCCACAGCACACAGAAGCTGCTGCCCTGCTCTCTAAGAGGCACAGGCCCTGCCTGTGTGAGGAAGGACTGCATAAGCAAGATCTTTGGGCTCCCTGACTTTACTTCCTCTTCTTTCTTGAGAGAGCATGCCAAGTTACAAAACAAGACAACACTGCCATGCAGAGAGCATTAGCTAGTCTTAATAAAAATCACTGCCAGGTCGGTAGTTTTCCTTAAAAGTAAACTGGCTATGGTATGTCAGGTTAATGTCTGCGTATCTCTGAAAACTACTTATTTTATGTTATGTATATATACATGTTATGTGTACGTGTCTGAATATGTTTATATATGCAGTGTGTGTGCAGGTTCCTATGGAAGGCAGAAGAGGGTGTCTCATTCCCTGAAGCTAGAGTTACAGGTGGTTGTGAGCTGCCCAGTTCCGGTGCTGGGAAGAAACACTGGTGCTCTGCAGGGAAGGCCACAGTGCTTTCCTCTGAGCCACCTTTCCAGCCCTGACGTCTGTATCTCTGAGAATGTCTGGCTTGTCATGTGCCCTTCAAGACATTCCTCCACAGTGATGAGATTTTGTTCATTTAGCTGTTTTTGCCTTCCTTCCTTCCTTCCTTCCTTCCTTCCTTCCTTTCTTCCTTCCTTCCTTCCTTTCTTCCTTCCTTTCTTTTTTAAGCTGGGCTTTTGTGCAACATTTTGGAGTCATCAGTTTTAGTCTTTGATTGGAACTTGGAATGTAGCTGTTTTATCAAAAATAGATAAACCTGGAATAGTAATCAAATAGTACTTTAAAGGAACACTCCAATTCTACCTGGAGATGATGCATAGAAGCTATTTATAGGTAGAGCCCAAATTCTTATCAGAAAGTAATTTTTAAAAATTAAAACAATAATATATAACTATTAGGGCTCCTACATCTCAAAGATACCTTAAACATACTGTTTTAACATTTGATTTGAACAAAGAATGTGAACATTTGAACAACTAAGAACATGGAGGTATGTTATAGCTGGGAGCATGCTGGCTAATGTCACTGTGAAGTGACTCCATGACCAAGGTAACTCCATGGCCAAGGACCATTGCTGTGGAGAGACTCCATGACCAAGGTAACTCTTAAAAAAGAAACCATTTAATGGGAGGGGTTATCTACAGTTCA